TAGGCACAGGACTTTCTTTATAACTACTATTCAATATACAAGTTTTTTTTATGGCCGCTAGCTCGATATCGTCCTCGTATCATTCACGTATAAATAAACATATAAGCTTGATTTTATCGCACCCTTTTCCATAAAAATTCCCTGAAAAAATTCTCACCAATGAACGTCTCATCACAATTGGTGCAGCGGTTTCGAAGACGAACTCGGCAAATAAATGTACAGACGGGAAAAAATTTAAAAACGCATGTTTGGGTCTCTATAATCTTCAAATTTGACAATAGAAATCCTTGATTTCTCAATCACAGGCAAGCACTTTATTATTTTTTTTCGCATAGATACGTTTATTTGTTTGCTTACGTATGTTTGCTTCTAATACAATAAATGCTTTAAATTACTTAACTAAACTAAATAATGATATGATATTTTCGTTTCGGCTGGTGAGTGAGGTACCCGGAGCCCAATTTCCAAAAAGGTTGTCAGCGCATCTGCAAACCTTCGGGTGTAGCAGATGTCCATGGGCGGCGGTATTCACTAAACATCAGGTGTACCGTCTGCTCATTTGGTAACTTTTCACATAAAAAATAAATAAATTAATATTTCAGGACATATTTACACAATGATATCTAGTCCCAAACTAAGCAAAGCTTGTACTTTGGGTACTAGGTAACCGATAAACATACTTTAATTTTCTAAATCAATACATATTACAGATAAATAATCCATATACTGTAGAAACACTATTTTCATCATACAATATTTTTCCAGTAGTGGAGGTCAAACACACGGCATCTGACGCAAGAGACAGGTCCACTATCCACTACGCCAATGGATCCTCAAAATCATACTACTCTTGTTAACTAGAATAGATTACGTTTATTGAAATGAAATGAAAGTATTTTATCGATTTTATTGTTATTAATTTTAATTTTAATTCCCCACAATTCGAACATTGTTTGTTCGTCGATAAAAAAATAGTGTTATTTGGATTCCAGAAGTATGTGCAATATGTATTATTGGCGTAAATAAATGTATGCGTTGTCAATCTAGAAAGTGACAATATTAACCTGACTGAACGGGAGGAGAGCAAAAGTTGAAAAACTAGAAGTAAATGTCTTTACACGGATCTTCTATGCGTGAAACTAATATCCTATGACAATAAGTCATTGCTTCACATCCACAATAAAACCCAGAAGACGGGACTCTTGTTTTTAAGAAATGTGACAATCAACTTATCAATATACGTGCATGATTCGGTTTAAAATAAATATAAGCTACACGTAAATTGACTTTAACAACTCGGGTAATTTCGGATCATATTGCGTGTTTTAATTTTGGAAATATATTCCGGAATTTACTTATGAGTCATGAGTGTGTCTCACTGTTTAACTGCCGTCTATGTGACAGTATATCTAATTGAAACCCACTAATCCATCCATCTCTCAACTTTTATGGTTGATTTATTTATTTACAAATTGTTTATTTTGTCTTTTCTCCTTTCAGGTCTCTACAACTAACTGCAACCTCAGCTTCTTCAATCCAGTCTTCGAAGTAGGGAAACCGATCACATACAGTTCTTAAAGATATAACTTTATTTGGCCTCGTGTAACAATTGTAATTTATTTCTTTAATGGTATAACGATAAAAGAATTTATATATATTAATAAATTACTACTGTTACATACATTATTGAACACAAAAAAAAAATTCAACAATCACACTCAAATCTTGAGTAAATTTGGTAAAAAATTTCTTTGAAGAAGTTTAATTTATAATTACTTTGCAAATGTACGGGATTTTATTATAAATACTTTATAGGAATTTACTATAATTACTTTATAATTACAATAATAATAATAAAATATCTTTATTCACATAGACGCTTGCGCGTTCTTATGAAACGTCAAAATTTTACAAGAAATTAACACGTTCGTAAGGTACCACCAATACTTTAGCTTCTATTAGTTTTCTTGGATTCAAAGTGAAAGTGAAACTAAAAAGTTGTTCATTTTAAACATTTTAAGGTATATGCTTGATATAAGCTGAAGTAGATATGGGCCATCCATATAGCTTGTAGAACCAGAACCGATGGGGAAGAAAGGTTCTTGAGTTGCAGCCTCGTAGTGTAATACGCCCCCTACTAGATGCAGTGCGAGTACCTTTGCAAATGTACGGGAAGTCGATGGATGCAGGTGGCTCAGGATCGTGCTTCGTGGTGTTGTGGGATGCCCTGTTCATGGGATGTTCGGGACACAACAGGCTGAATTTATGATGATGGCCAAACACTCATAAGAAACAACGAAAAAGTTTGCGATCCCAGTTTTAACCTTTTTTTATAAAGAAATGTAGTAATTCTACATTAATACAAATAAAAAGTAGCATTAATACAAACAAGTGTGTAAGAGACAGTAAACAAAAAGACAAATAGGCCTTTTCTATAAACCTTGCCAAAATTTTCCTAAAGTGATGTTTATTCAATTGTTTCGTACCACATGATACAATTGTTTTTATTAAATTGTATAATGTTATAATGTGAACATTGATCACCAGTTCTTTTATACGTAAATCGTCAGGTAAAGGCTCTGGGAGTGACGATAACGAAGACGCTTCTCCATTTCTAATAAATCGAAAGATCATTTGTCACCATCATCATCATTTGTACCCGCTTAGCATATTGCAAACAACCTGCCACTATTTTGCCTCTCATACAGGCCTGCAATAAAGTCCCTTGACGCGAGGAACCGTCGAAGACTGAACATTTTGACATGTTTATGAAAGCTGTTTATACTGCTTTTACATCGATGTGACTCCTTGAAGTGTATAGTACTCAAACACGCAATATGAAATTATGCACGCAAGTTCGTGGTATGTAATTGATGTTATAAGTATTCATCGATAAACTAGCCAATCGCATGATTCCTATTGTAAATTACAATTAAAACTTTTTAATTCAATTTAAAAAAAACCTATTTCTTAAATACTTCACTAATCTTACAAAGCAGCATTCGTGGGCACGGGGCGTGAGGAGTTTGCCCTCCTGGTGTTCAAAATCCGGGCTACTGTCAGCTTAACTGCTTTCCTGTGGTAGGGCCACGCAAGTACGGGTAAGTACCCCGACCTCACAGAAGACCGGCGTGACGTGGAAGTGTTGTCCTTCTGCGTTGCGTCTAGTGTAGTTGTCTAGTGTGGCAGGTAGCCGGGGCCCACCTTATTAAAAGGTGGCAACGCATCTGTAACCCTTCAGGTGTTGCAAATATCAATGGGCACCGTTTATCATTTAACATCAGGCTCCTTTGCCACCTCCTCACATAAAAGATAACCTTGCTAATTATTATTTTTTAATATGCTTCCCTTATCCTATGCAAAATTATTCTGCTATTTCTAAAAATAAACGTACTATATATCACACAGTGAACTGTTATAAAAGAATACTTGTGAAGAACTTAATTAAAATGAGAAACTTAAAACTTATAAATGAGTTTTTAGCTATGCACTACTATTTTACGGCACCTGAAGTCACCGGTATACTTACGGGAGATTCAAGAAGACAGGCCAGTATTTTATGAAAAATTGGTAACACACGTTACATCACAGAAAACGGCTTTGTGACGAAACACCGTAAGTCAATAATAATCGCTGAACATTAATATTAATGCCTGGTCGTCGCTCGTCAATCCTGACTATGTAAGACTTACTCATTACTGTTAAATTTACAACAGAATATTATAAATGTTCTATCAATGTATAGAACATTTTTTTGAAGTAACTTGTGAAATCTGGATTCACAAAGTCAGTTTCAAATCTTTTATCTTATCTTGATTAAATTTAATTTGCTTTATTTACTAAGATGTCCTCACAATCGATAGGATTGGCAGCTTACCATGGAAGGAAGACAGTTAGTGCAATAGGGGATATCCTTTCCTAAACAATATAAAAATATTATCTTTAAACGATCATTACAGTGTCAATCCTGATATTTTTATCTTCAATCATAATTTGAAATTTACTAACACTTTCATTTTCAAAAATTACCTCACTGTATTATAACATTATCATGCGTGGTAGGGATATTTATAAATTGCCCACCACCGAGGACCAGAACAAATGTCTACTTACCCCGAGCAAGAATCAAAGCCACGACTGGTATCCATACAGGACAATCGAACCAGCAACATACGTTGCTGCCAAATCGTATCACCCCGGGCTTTAATGAACTCGAGACCGTGTCGACCCACGAAGAACGAACCCACATACCGACAGTGAAGGGCACGAGCCGGAGCGGAGCGGAGCGCGCCGCCACAACAAAATCGCTAAAACTCAAGGGGGCGACGACACGGCCCAACCGCGCCGCGTCAAATGTATTCAAATGTATGCACGATTAATTCAGGCTGCATAGCCAGCGGGACGGTGTTAGTAGTGGCACCAGTCTCACTTTCTACGCCGGATCGATGATGGGGCCGTGACCTTCGGGCTCTTATTCGGCCCCCGGAATTGATTTTTTCCCTTTTAGAGGCGCTTTTCGGCCCGGATATAGACGAGTCCGTGTGTCGGAAGCCACAGCTAGCGGTAGTAGGTTGAACTTTGGCTCGCCTTACGGTATGGTACGCTATAACGGCTGTCTACCAGCGTGGGGTGGTCAGAGACTGATGCTACTGATTAATACACACATATATTGAACAAAGCCTCAATCTAATCAAAAATAGCACATTTCTAAATTGACATGTTGATGTGCTTTATAAACGCAAAATCGTTCGTAATTCTATAAGGTATGCAGAAAGGTAAGTTTTATAAACCATAGTTCGGGACTTTTTATGAACACTAAAAGTGAGCGATGGAACGTTGAGTGGGAAATATGAAGTAAACAGACCCGCTTTTACATCTGATCTGAGACGGAGGACAAAGGGCCTCGATAAACACACAAAGGGCTGCTTTAGGGCCGCATCATTCCTCTGGATGCGAACTACAAAGGGGCGAGTTTTCCTAACAGGGGCGCCGGGATTTTACAGCCGAAGGTTCGCGCGGAAGAAAGGACGCCCCGTGAAATTCCTTTTCAGGTCCCGACGGAGCGCTGTGCGTAGAGTGCGGTAGGTAGGCCGGGTGTTGGGCGGCGGAGGGGCCGGGTGCGCGTGTGCGTCGGTGGGCGTGTGTGCGTGCGCGTGTGTGCGCGTGTGCACGCGGGTGTACGCGAGTGTGCGCGTGTGCGCGGAATGCGGTGCACGGCGCGTCCGCTCTTCTGGCGTCGTGACGTCACACCGTAGCCACAGCCTAGTCGGCGGTAAATTCGCGATATTGCTTTCGAGTACACTACAATTGCAGATCTCCGTGCTATTTAAAAAACGAACGATTCGAATTTTTTTCATTAAGTAGATAAACTTCAGATTCTCTTCTTCGTATATATCTTAGTATACAAGTCTTTTGAAAAACAATAACTACATATTGTTAAAAAACGTATTTTCAAATCACATACAGAACAAAGCCCTTCGATATAGCGGTGTAACGTAAACGTCCAACGTGTGCCAGTCAGGGCTCGAACCCGGGGCCGCGGTGGCACCGGCGGCCGGGGCGTACGGGCGCGCACACAGGCGCGCCACGTGCGCACTCCGGCACACAGAGCGCCGCCTACGTGTCGTCGCCTTGGCAACGGCGCGCCTGCGCGGACCGCCCACCGCCTCCGCGCGCTTCGGCTCTCCGCCCGGCATTGGCCGTGCCGGCGCGGACACTTCTTCTCCAACGGCCGCCGAGCGAACACATCCCGACAAACCTCCCCCCGTTCAGCCGCCGGCCATAGATATGACGCTCTACGACATCTACCTAATTGCGATAGCACATCACGATCTCATTCGGCTAATCATCACGAAAACTGCACTCTGTAAGGTTGTCTGAAAGAAATTGCTACCTTAGCAATAAGGTCACTATGATTCCTGTATTTTCTTTCTATATATTTCCTTATGTGCAATAAAATATATTCTATTCACCTGTTCTGTATTTTTTTTTTCTATATATTTCCTCGTGTGGAACAAATCTATAATCTGCTCTATTCTATGCTCTGTCCTATATACGGTGGAGTGACTTGCCTCTTTATCGCCATTCTCTCAATAACCGAGAGAAGTCTCCCGCATACTTATCATATCATCAGACATCAGGCTATCTGCCACATTCGTCTACCATCGCGTCACGAAATTTCAATGGGATGCCTCGTTGGTAACAACGCTGCGCAATCGTCTAAGTCTGTTCATGGAATGTCTCAACACAACCGTTCAAAAGAGTTTTTAGGTAATAATGTAAAATAAGACCTCATATTTAGAATAGACGATCACAGATCACCATGGACAATAGTAGCAGGAAAGTTTATTGCAAAATAACTCATCTAAACATAACATAGAAAGAACTAACTCACCGTTGTCGTGAAACGCTGTAACCTAGATAAAAGTTAAGAGACGCCTGTTCTAAAATAAGTATAGTCCGCGAATAAAACAGCGCCGGGTCAAGGTCACGTTTTCAGGCGGACAATTCCTCGAGGCGTTAATTTGCGACTGACACGCCATTGCAATACTTCATTAGGAACCACTATTCTTTACGGTACTGCATTGGGCCTTCGAAACCGAACCCACTACTACGTGCTACCATAGCATAACTGTGTGATCACGTCTTTATTACGTTGGGGAGCGGGGGGGGGGGGGGGGGGACATGACGTATATCCGTTAAATATAATCGCAGCTCAATAGCGTCACATCCTCGCGACAACGGCGTCAACGGAACGGTGCCATTTACAAAACGTCTCTAAATACACAATAATGGGCTCCCAAGCCGACGCGTGTCTATGTGAGCGCTCGTCCGCGCGTGCGAGGAGGACGGCGGCAGAGGGAAGAGGACGAAGCGTCCCCTCCCCCCACCCCCGCACACGCACACCGCGCCGGGGTCACGCACACACGCGCGTCGCACACGCCAAACGGAATAGGTATTTGTGAACACGAAGACAGTTGATAATGTTTGTAATGGAGGCGACACGGGAATAGATACAGCGGGCTATAGCGTCCGGTGTACGTAGCACCGTCGGACGCGAAGGGCTGTGATTCGCATTACTCTCGCAATCGGATGATGAGGAATATTAATTAAGCGACGGGCGATAATTTGCCCGCGGTTCCGCGGAAGCGATTGGGTGCCGCCGGCGCGATGAAAGGGCGTACCGCGTGTAGTTTTCAGAGTTTTCGTATGATCTGAGGCGATCGCTAAATCAACAAAGCAGATAACGTTATATTTCTGTAATGGCACCTACGAAGTTCTTATATTTACTTTAACTGAAATGAATCGTTATTATCTTTAAAAAAAAAAACGATACAAACGCCACGATAAGAATGCGGAGCGTTTAAAAGGAATACCAATTAACGCGTCTCGATAACAATTAGCGGGCATGAAGGAACGCGTGGAAGCATGTAAACACGAAAACGATTAAAGCGTTGTCCGTCAGCGATGCTGGGTAACAATTAAGTTAAACGCGCCCGTATCAAAGTTATGCGCATAAATCTCGGAGGCTGCATCGCATTACGTTCAGACGTAGGCCGCGGCCATTAACAAAATCGGCAGCGGGCCGCGCCGGCTCCCAGACGGCGTCCAAAATAAACACTGAACGGGGCGAAGTTTTATTGAAATATCCGTGCAAAGCTTACGCGGACGGCGTGGAAATGAGGCGGGAGCTTTTCCGGGCGGACTCTTCGCGAGCTACCGCTAGCGCCATCTGCCGTCGGGTAGCGGAACCGTCGCGGATTCGTCGCCTACGACTATCTCAGTTCCAACTCTACGAAAAGAAAAGTAACGTTCGACGTGAATAATGATTGTATCGGCGCAAAGTTGGCTGAGCGTGAAAGCGATGCGTCCGCTAAACCGAGGGAAACGTATTCAGATGACCTTGCCCCATTAAAGCGGCGCGCCATACATTAAACATGAGAGGCGTCATTGTTCGAGGTTTTAACGGCTTTTTCGCATCGCGCCGTTTGCGGGGAACGCTTTCCAGCCCGCGACGTCCGCCTCGCCCTCCGTTATCCATCGGGTTGTCATCGCGACAAGAATAACCTTACTTTGTACGCAATAAGACTTGAAACGATTAGGCGGACCAAGGAAAATCCGAAAAACATTCGAGCCAATATAATAATAACCTAATAGCTGTTCGTTTAAAAATAGTATTAACCTTCAAAACAGAATTAACCGTTAAAATAACGAAAAAGACGGAAGCCAAAAGTCAAGTCAGTTCTTTACAGAGCATACAGCGCTTTCTCAATGAAATAGACAAATGTACATAAAAGCTCTACGCCGTTAAAAGCTCCACTCTTAGCGAAAGCGAACACTCGAAATCCTCCAAAGGTAAGCGATCTTCCTGGAGTGTGACGAGCCGGTAGCTTTAAGTCGCTTAAGTAACATAAGTAGATGAGAAGTTGTGTGAAAGATTTCTTCATGCGAGAGCCTCTGGTAATATATGAATGTACACATGTGTGGAAAATGGTATAGTTGATGTTGCAACATATTACGAGTAAAGACTGTTCAAGCCCCGACTTTTGCGCGAATGGTTTTAATTACGTATTATTACGTACACGCGTTATTGATATCAGGTTAGTAACGTATTTCTTGTCATAATATAAAATATTAACTTTACTAATAGTTTATACGATGGTTAAAAGTTTAATACAAATATTAACTTTTACACAATTATCCAAACCAACGAAAGCCACACCTAATGCCGTGCATATATTTGCAATATATTTATTTACTCTGAATAGTTACGCTTATCTTTGAGTAATATTTACAAGTGACAAGAGGGCTTGTGCCTTGTCACCACAACAGCGCCAGATGCTCAAAAAGATTTGGCATCATAAGAATATTGAAGATACACAAGAATATTATAAAAAGCACTTGTTTTATTAACGAAAAACAAAACTGACTTCAAATATTCATTTTCAGTTGTGCCATAATTATCTCCGGAACCCAAGACCCAATACCAACGGATTTATATGTGTTTTCAAATAAAAAAAGAATCATAATGTAATGTATTCATTTAAGTACAACAAGTTCTACCGTGTGGTCTATAATATGAAGTTACTTTTGGTGGAAACTATACTGGCTCAGAGATTTATACTATATTTTTATTATTTGTTAGTTTATTATATAGCTGTTTGTTTTCCTTGAAAAAAATAAAATAAAATAAATAAATAAAAATCGGTTCACCCGGTTGAAACGTCTGAGGTAACAAACATTAAAAAAATACAGTCGAATTGAGAACATTCTCCTTTTTTGAATTTCGGTGAAAAGCGTTGCCATTTTATTAACGCTCTCTTTACGCTCCAAAATATAGATTACTTTTGGTGTGGTTTTTTGGTACAGCAGTTTTTGCTGCGTGGCCCCGCAGCAAAAACTGCTGTACGAACGGGCAGGAAAATACCACGACTCCACAGAAGACCGAATTTAAGTGGAAGTGTTATATTTCTGCGCATACGTCTGCAATACTACGGGCGTTGTATCATTTAATATCAGATTAAGCGCGTTGCCAGCTTCTCTCAAAAGAAAAAACTTAAACTTACTTAATAACACGCAAGACAGTTTTTACGTTTTAGTTTTTCAATACTTAGCTGTTGCCGAGTGAGTTTCAATACTTGTGTAGCAGACATTGCTAGTTGCAATCGCAGGGACGTCGTGTCCATTGCCCGGACGTCGATTTTCGTGCGGAGCGGAGCGTGAAATGAACAAAAATACCCACCCACGGGCGTCACACCTGAACACCACACATATATATGCAGTACATGCTTCACCCATTAGGCTAGCACGATTACCTAAAGTCAGTGACCACGTAAACACATAGAGTGGTTAAAACTGTAAATTGGAGGAACATGGCCAATTTTGTGTAAGAAACCTCAATTAGTCGACCTATCTACCAAATCTGGAAATTGTAACCAAAGCTAGAACACTACCTCTGAATTGACTGCAGTTTTTATTTTGGATGCCTTACGCAAATGCTTAAAATTAACTTAACTTTCTTGTCATTTTCTTTTTGTTACTTGGGCTTTTCTTAAGATTTCTTTTGCTCATCCGTTTTAAGTCAGCCACGTGGAATTACAATTACTTATTTAAAAGCAGTTACTGTGAAACAAAACGCAACACCCTATCAAAAGCTAAAAAGCAAAAGCTCCTTATAAAAAGTAGTGTTTCTGTAATATTTCATAGAAATAATTCACGGGGTAACGATTTGACAAGACAACACTGTGTGTGTTTGAGAACTGTGAAATTCCGAATGGTTGTTAACCGTCACATTTATTAATCGCTATCACTTATTGTGATATCTCTTTTTACCGCCGACGTTTTCAGTCCGATAACGCCGTCTCTCGATGCCCAGCACCCGTGCGAACCACATTTCGGATAGGTGAATAGTGGTAACTACCATTTAGTCCTATCTAAATGATGCACAATACTAGTAAAGTATATTAACACAAGGTGATGCTAGGCCTGTAGAAAATTATAGTGCTTCTTCAACTTCTTCTTCTACTTGGCATTAATCCGGGCTATCCAGGGTCTGCCTTACTACTTAGACTCCTCCACTTTGCACGACCTTCTTTGCTTGTGCAACGGTGCTTCTTTAACTATTTAAATAAATAAAAAAACATGACATATTCACCCTACGCTATCTAGTTTCAAACTAAGCAATTCTTGTACTATGGATATTAGTAACTGATAAACAAACTTAAATATACTTTTCTTTCGTATTTAAATTCATGTTTTGGATACTCGTATAAAACACCCAGCCTATGAAAAACACTTTGTTTATCACACAATATTTCTCCAATAGTGGGGATCGAACCCACAGCCTGTTTATTTAATTGCTTTAAAAGTCTTGCAGAATTCTGAATGCTCGAATCTTATTTCAATCAAGGGCAAACTAAATAGAGCTTACCCGAAACACAAACATTTTTCTAATCCTTTCCCTTTCGTTATTGATGGATTTGTATCTACCATTTCAAAAATGGTTGAAAACCGAGCACTTAAGAGGAGTTTCAACTCCTCTTCGGTAATTCATTACTGACTAATTGTTTATGTAACTCTCCGAGGCCTTGAAAACAAAAAAAAGCATTAAGAACAAGAGCCAATATAAAACTTATACAATAACCTTCAACTTTACGAACTTGGATTGACTTGGACGCTTGGCTACTTCTTTACGTAAACTGCAATGTGGTAGAAACAACGAGCTACAAAGTAAACATACGATTAGTGAAAAAACAAGGGCATGGCTGTAAATGCACCATATACTTATAGCATGTTGGGTTGCGATTGCAGTGGGTGAGCTATTTCCTGGCAAGACGATGCGTGAAATTAGTTGAGATAACGAGACGTCGCGGCTGGGAGCGCACAGGACCAGCCCATCGCAAACCCTGTTCTGTTCATTATCTTACACATATGTGTGACTCGACAACCTTTGAGGCGTACTCGTATACAAGACGAGCCATGCGTGGTAGCTTGTCGCTTCTAAGAGCATTTCTAAGGGCAAAAACGTATGGTGCGAAAAATATGTGTTGCGATACCGGCAAAACAGTAATACATAAATACATGTAACACGGAAAGTCATAGGGCTGCTATCAGTGCTGCAAGGAGTTCCTACCTAAAGTGCTAGTACTCTATCTAGTGACGGAGTAGACGATCTTAAATGCCGACACCGCACCTACTCCTACACCCAGAAAAGAAGACATAATAAGGTCTGTCTTTCCAAGTTGAACTTTAGCCTAGTTAACGTCAGCGATAACAGTGCACAAGTTTACAAACTGACGAGAAGTTTGATGAATTACATTAACTGTTGTATTAGAGCCACTCAACAATGTTCGCTGCAGCACGAATGGGCAGGTCGGGAAAGTACCACGACCTCCCAGAAGACCGGCGTGAAGTAGAATTGGTACACTTCTGCGTTTCATCTGATAAGTAAGGTAGCCGAGGCCCACTTTATTAAGAGTGGCAACGCATCTGCAACCGTACGGGTGTTGCAAAAGTCCATGGGCGGCGGATATCTTTTAATACCAGGTGAACCGCCAGCTCGTTTGCCACATTCCAACATAAAAGAGACGATATTTCATCGATATATTGCCTTTGAGTCTTTTGTTGTAGTAAGTTTGTAATAAATGATTCTATCGATAAAATCTGCAATTGCGTAGCGGATTAGAAACATAATATCAAGGACATTAGAGCACCGAAATGGATTGTAGTTTTTATTTCAATTACTCAAGAAGAAACATAAGGGCACGAGGCTAAAAGTAATTAAATGCCAGAAGTCGAGGGTCGAAGATGGACTACGTTAACTCATGGGATTTTGGACGTTAGCCGTAAAGCGATAAAATAATAAATCGTACAAAATCACTTGTTGGTTACAATGGAAGCCTTCTGTGGAAATGTCGCAGTCGAAATTACCTTCGCTAACGACACAAACCCTAATTACCAAGTAGAGTTAGTAATAGAGGGAATGGGGTGGGTCTGTAAATGTTTGTTACATTACAAATTTTCTCATAAAACCTACATTATTAATGTAAGAAAATTTGTTTTTTACTTTCTGTCGTGCAATGCAATCGAAATGTGTGTTTCATTTCTGTATTACATTGCACTATTACTAATGCTTCAATAACTTACCCAATGTGTGGAGTTAACATTGTTGATACTCACGTAATATAAATAATAAATAATAAATATTTTTAAAGCAAACAACAAATGGGAACTCTCGGGCACAGACAAGACCGTGATGTTTTATCTAAGTGAAAAACTAAAAGCACATGAACAACAAACTTTAGGGATTTGAACCCGGGACATAGAGATATCGAGAGATCTTTATTCATAATCACACTACTCCATCACTGTGGACGAAGTTTCAAATACCGAAGAATCTACGAGCGTCATAGCAGACGATATGAACCAACAAAATATTGGAGCTACGTGGTGAGACTAACTGCTATATAGGTACAGTCGCCGCAGCAAATCCGTCTGTTTCGTGAATACAATTAATGCGATCCGGGAAATCCGGGAGCGGGCAGCGGCGCGAGTTATAAACTCCGTGGGAAGACCGCCAGGTGTCGCCACCGTTGCGGGGACCACCGAATCAAACAGACCAACACTATTACCCAGAGAATGCAGCGCAGAACGGACTTGGCTTTTATCATGGCTTAAACTGACTATATTTTTCAATCAGTGTTGAAAAATTTTACACTTTTCATAGACATTAACTGACACAAATAAACGCCAATAATTAATGATTGCAAAATTAGCATTTATATCTGCTTTACACAAGCTATAATACAGTAATAGAAAAGACCGTGATTTTTAGGCAATATCTGAGAACACGTCTCGTCTACATCACGTGCTCTATATACGGAGTGGATAATTTCGGACTATCCGCGCAGGTCTGCGCCACTTGAAATAACATAGTACAGATATCGCTTCTCATATCTCGCCGCCATTGTTTTTCCGGTTTGTACAGCACCAGCGGCGGCCTTTTATACATTAATACTTCTTCGGGCGCCCATTTAGAACCGAAAGCCTTCTCGCCGATCTCAACGAAAGCCGGTGGCAGGCGATCGTTTAATTTATTCAAATTTATTGAATAATCCCAAGCTGTTGTCCCTTTGAAAGTGCCTTTGTTTATTTTGCTCAAGAATTTCCAATTTAGGTACACTAATTTCGAATTGTAAAATTTACGGTATTTATTCAATCCTTAAATGCGGCGGTTAATTTTGAGATAGCTATTATCAGAAATGTCCTGGAAAAGTCATCACTGCACGCTTCTGAAATGAAATTAATTATGCGACGATAGTTCGATGTTATTTTCCAATAGACCAACGTTTGTACGCGTGTGTGCGCTTTTGACTCTGTGTGTGTGTACGTAACTTTATGTTTTTCCCCAATGCGGGTAGACCAATTAACGCGACCGTTTAGGCGGCATGTGGTGTTCGAGTCCTTGCCCTATACTTCCGGGCCAACAGAGGTCTCCATTGGACGGTCACGTTCGACCGCACGCCATATGACAGCCGCTGAAGCGGCTCTCGGCATATGAAGGGTTCCATTTACCAGCTTTTAAAAATATTACACGCATTTTTTGGTGTGAGAATTATTATTGTGGCGCATCAATACTACTTTTTTTTTTATTTTTTCTTATTTTCCCGTCAAAAAGAAGGTCCTCACGCTTCTCAAGTTTTGGATGTAATTCGAAACAAAATCTATATTTTTTTATTTTGTATCATTTCTTTTTTAATGCAAATAATCTAACTTCCTGCGTTAATAATTTTGGAATAATAACATCCGCACAGCACTCGTTCCTTACGTGACGATTGATACACTCAGTCTCGGAAGAAAGGAAGAAAAACATTTATATCCATGGTAATTTTTATCGGGATGTTAATTTTTATACTTATTCAGCGAAACACGTCATAACTGAAAGCCGCGTAAAAGTGCAGCTTCCGTTTGTAAGAATCCTGGAACAGACCGCTGTAGCTCCGTTCAGTCGTCCCGGCACTATGCGCTTTGAAAAACACCAATCGATAGCAGTCCCTCCGCGAATCGCGTGACGCAAGGCAAGCTGGGGAGCGGCGCGTGAAAAAACCGCTCCGACTTGCACCGCTTCCATATGCATCGGCACATTTTCCGATGACATGACCTGGTGAGGAAGAAAGCCGACCCAAAAAGCACCGGTCACCACGCCCGGCCAGTAGCGCTGTCACGGCGCGAGCGGCTCCTGAAAAAGCCTGCTTATCGGACCGCAATAATACCAGTTGAGGAACGGTTGCGGCGTGTCGGCTCTTCGTTTTTTTTATTTTTTTTTTTTCGTTGTGTGAAAGTGTGGCAAGCAAGCGGTTCTAATGTAAGTGATAACCGCCATAGACGTCTGCAACGCCATAGGGGCAAGAAGCCTTGCCAATCTACACTAACTATAGCCGGTCCCAGTTTCCCCGGTGAAGTGTAATACTTCACCTTCACGCTGATCTTCTTTGCTGCCATGGTCCCTGGAGTAGCCTGCACATTCTTGCTACGTGGCCCCACCGCAGTCATTATCTTCATTTCCTCCTTCACTCATATAGGGGGATTGAGAAGTAGCACTCTTGTGACGTGCTCATCATGTGCTCGGTGGTGAAGGAAAACATCGTGAAGAAACCTGCATATTTTCTTAATAATAATAAAAAAAAATGTTTCGAAAATATGTTAAGTCCGCCAATCCGCAGCTGGGTTGCGTGGTGGACTATGCCTTGATACCCTCTTTACAGAGGAGGCCTTTAACCAGCAGTGGGACATTTATAGGTTTTTACTTTACTTTTTTTTACTCTTGTCACCGCTATGAAGCATTGGTTGGCAATTCCACAGCTGTAGATCTGCCTATAACGTAAGGAATTGACCGTCAACATTACTACTCTAATTCTAATAAAGAATCTTGCTTTAAGTGAAAACAATATACCAGCATCGACCCTACCAAGAAGATTACAAAGTAATATGAAAAAAGGTATACCTGAACTGGTGCGTACCTCTGCACTGTATTTGGGATTTAGTAAGTTCTAACGACTTCTGTCTAAAAGATCTCATATGTTCATAAAGATTGTTAAAAGAAATGAGAAGTAGTATTCTTCTTGAGTTTTTGTTAACAATAAAGGAGAGTTTATCCTTTAGCTAGCAGTCAGTTTCTCTATCTCCATACAAACTTACTTATAGTTCAGTTTCATTGATATAGTTATAATTATAGCTACTAATCAATCAATTGTCAACGATATTTCGTTTTTAAGCGAATTTTTAACTCAACGTGTCATAAGCCATTTGTGTGCTGCCGCTGACAATTGAAACGTTACGATAAAAAAGTGAATCAACGTTTCCATGTGTTTAAACAAACATTCCGTGTGATTACTTGGTTACAGTCACAGAACAGAATGAGTCAGTGGCTTCGTTTTTAAGTGAATTTTAACTCAACGTGTCATAAGCCATTTCTGTGCTGCCGATGACAATTGAAACGTTACGATAAAAAAGTGAATCAATGTTTCCATGTGTTTAAACAAACATTCCGTGTGATTACTTGGTTACAGTCACAGAACAGAATGAGTCAGTGGCGTCACTAATTAGATGCCTGAATTGCTTGTGATTTAATAAAAAAAAATCAAAGTTGAAACGAATGAAAAACTTATAGTTGTATTTCAAGTCGGTAAGGATATTTAATATTTTAATCAAAAGAATGAGGGATAAAGCGAGAATTCAAATTAATTATCATTCTTTTTTTCAAAGTATGTAGTTACTTTAAGGACTCCGTGGCACAGTTGCCAAGGTATTGGCTTCGGCGTGGGGGGTCGTGGGTTCGATTCCTGCACAGGATAACTATTTATGTGACCCACAAATAATTGTTTCGCATCTGTAAAAAAATATATTTGTAAAACGACCTTACAACACAGGATAATGTTATCCTAACGTAAGAGCAACGTTTTTAAAAAAAGACAATAAAAAAAAGTCTCAACTTACCGCGACAACAATAAATGTCAAGGGTTTTGTCAATAAAACTTGTAGTTATTTATCTTAATGCATTTGTTTATATGAAAAATTGGCAAATGCGACTGCTCTGTGGCTGCACTTAACACCGCAGTCTATCGGCAACACACGTAAGAACGTTCCGCGTGAATGGACAACAATATATCATAAGAGAAACCCAGTTCCTTTAGAAACGATGAAATCGCAACTCATGGTGCTGGATAATTTGCGATCGCAAAACAGGTTCCACCACTAGAATGGATATAAAGAATAAAGTATATTATTTACTTTACATACCCTGTTCATGATGACGAGATGATGAAAATTGTTTGGCACACAACGTAACGGAGTAAGTAACGGCATTAAAAATCCTTTTGCTTCCCCACCTCTGGAACACAAATAAAGTCAGAAACTTTAGACCTATTTATCCGATTGGAAATTGAAACAATTGTCAAATGTAATATTAAAGTAAGTAATGTTAAGAGCTAACACATACCTACAAAGTTAATGAAGGTTATAAAATATGGTAAATTTAGGTAAGAACGTGGCAAGCAAACTGGCGGTTAACCTGATGTTAAGTGATAGCCGCCGCCCGAGCACATTTTCAATAGCCGTGTAATTGCAGTTGCGTTGTCACCTTTTAATAAATTAGGCTCCAGTTACCTCAGTCACCAGACGAAACGCAAAAGTATAACTCTTCCACTTCTCGGTCTACTGTCAGGTCGTGTTACTTCCTCGAATGTACCTGTCCATTCGTGCAGCGCCGACTATTGCGTAGCTCTACTCCAGTTAAAATACTAAAAAACACCGAGTATTAGGCTAATGAAATCAACTGAGTTTCAAATAATAACGTACGACCGTTAGGCACCGTCAAAAGATTGAGCGTTCGGGCCAAAGGTAAAGAAAGGCAGGGAAAGGAATGCAAGTTGCGGCCCGAGCGGGCGCACTGCACCGTGTTTATGCAAATGCATGCTAATGCATGTATCTTGCGATCGCGGGGGACCACACTTCCTTCCGCCCCTAATTATGCGTGCCCCGAATGTGGGACGGCGAGGTTACGCGTTCCCGGTGACCCTTGATTTCTGTAACGGCCGTTTCACTCCGCCACAGGTTGCTTGAACTCAACATTTTTATGGAGATGCTGTCGACTTGCCATCGATTCACCTAAGTAATGGTCACCGCCGTCCATATAGATTCGCAACACCAGGGGATTTGTAAAGGCGTTCTAGGGAATTTGAACGAGAATAGTATCTCACCGATTTGATGACTCCGTGGCGCAGTTGCCAAGGTATCGGCTTCGGCGTCGGGGGTCGTGGGTTCGATTCCCACACGGGACAACCATTTGTGTGACCCACAGATAGTTGTTTCGCATCTGGGTGTTTGTCCGCGTGAAATTTATGTTTGTAAAAACGTCCTTTACAACACAGGATAATATTATCCTAAAGTAAGGGCAGTGTTTTAAAAAAAAAAGAAAAGATAAAGATAAACCGAGAAGATCCTTATGTCGTATTGCTCCAGAAATACAATGAATAGTAGTAGTGTTACTATATATTAATTAAGATAGTTTACATTTTTACGCTAACCTTTTTTAAATTTTACGATAACCTTGATCAGCTTGAAAGACATCGATGATTCTAAAATAGACTTCTATCAAATCACTCATTAGGCATTTGTCTAATGTTCTAATGTTTAACTCAAAATTTTTAAGGTAAGGTATTTTTATTTTACTTCTACTTTTATTTCATATAACTATTTTCAAAATCATTTTATTAACTATCAATATATGAATCAAATACGTTTACTGATATGTTATTAATAAGTTAACAATTTACATATTTACTAGTCACCGAGCCTTATCGAACCTATTACCTACTTACTGTCTGTGACTATTTCTGACAATGAATATTCATATTTATTAGCAGGTTTTTTAAACATTAAAAAGAACAAATGAATGGACAGTCAATCAATTGAATTGCACATTTACATCGCGATTCACAATTACGTCCTGACACTTCCAGCGCCATCTAGCGAAGTGCACAGCTATTAATATTTATTTATTGCGGCAAATTCTAATCTGCCGCATCCCCAGTAGACGCCTGGTCGAATGCTACGTTTAAAACAGCCACGGGATGCCATCCACGCGGATCTATTGGCAATCTGAAATAAAGCCTTATACAGTAGCAACACTAAAGCTGCGCGTTAATCAACTTTGACTCCGCAACCGTCATTAGGTAAGTGTTGCCCGTAGAAGGTCGGCTGCACACTGGGCGTCGATTACGAATTATTTATAGTGTGGGTGTCGCCAGCAACAGCGCCGGGTGTGCCGCGGCCGCAAAAAAACCTCGGCCGACGTCCAGTAGCGATGTAATTATAGCTATCTTAGAACCTGTCGACGCACGGTAGAATGTCCGCGGCATAACAACTAGATCGCCGAGTTCTTGCGTCGAGAATTCGTGCTCTTTTTTCCACAATCGACAGTCAGCTGTAGTATGTCCCTTAGTGGATATTTTCTTGACGTTATCTACCAGTTCGGGGACCAATTAAAGTCTGATCTGGCCGCGTTTCGATCTGTATTTCGTAATGCGCTGTTGAGCGAGTACAAATCCCAATGACGTTACTTTAAGAGATTTTAATTGAAATTTTAAGAGTTCTAAGAAATAAAATGTTTCAAATATCGATTATGTCTGTAAGCCCTTCAAACTCGAAGTCACCCAGTGGTGGTATATTAAACTATCCTGTATTCTGTAGGAGGAGTCCAACGCTAAAAGAAAAAGTCATAACTCATATAATCAACCAATAGTTTAATCAACGTTTAAATAGCTGGTGATAGAACACAAGATATTTCCTACGATGGGTGACGAAAAGTTTTCCCACGGACCTTGCTTGTTTAAAATGAGTATAGAGACCAAATGCACATCGTAAGTATTTTACTCGGACAAGAATATGATGATATTAATATAATTAAATAGTAACTAGAAACTAACGCAGCAAGTGGTGCCATTAATATGCTAATTGTCCTAAATGAGCGCCTATAAATAACAACTAATCAATATGCTACTGACCTTAGGCTTAAGCGTGGACTGTTCAGATGCTTTGAGATAAGTTTAATCTTGATCGTACTTCAGCAGCAGACAAATGAGTAGCATGAATACTTTCCCCCTTACACCTTTCGTCTGACAAATCGCTTACTAAACTCCAAAGAAATGTGTTCGTTCTTTACGTTGACGGTTATTTAGAAAATGCAATTAAAGCTACATCGTCACAAACTTTTCTTTTCAAGATTTCTGGTCCGATCATCAATTTTTAACATAAATTCACGTTTTAATTATACATTTATAACGACCTATTAAATCATAATAAAAACCTACGCCAGAACATAATAATAAAATTATTATGTTGAACTACGATTGTGCAAAATTTAATGCACATTAAATAAGTCTAAATTTTTAGATGTGCCATGAACTTATTCGTAAGACATTGGCAGAAACATTTGAACCATTTATCCCTTTACACTAGAATAAATCTATATAAAATCATCAAATTCCGCATGTTAAAGCTGA